TTCCATCACAGAACGTCCAGGGAACCCCGCATAATTCTCATGGACCACCACCATATTCCCAGAGGCATACACACGGCTTCCCACATGGACCCCCAAAAAATCAAAATCATGGGAACGGGAATGAACCGCAATCAATGAGACGCTCGATTCCGGTGGTGAAAGTTTTGGCTCCCCAATCGAAACATAATGTCGACGGCTCCTGGAGAACATACTTTGAACGTCGCATTATGTTTGTAGTCTGGGCCAGGGATGTACGTAAAATTTTTAGTTTACGAATTTCGTAAAACGTAAAATTTTACGGATTACAAGCTTGTAAAATCGTAAAATCGTAAAATTCGTAAAAAAATATAAAAATTCTATCCGAATGGAAGAAAAACTGCAGTTTCATTATTAAGAGGTTTAGAAATGGTGTGCAAATGTTAAATACCGTAAAATGTAATGTTTTTGTTTATTTTCAACAATTTTCTGCAATTTCTTTTCCGCAAATGCTAAATTGAAAGAAAAGCATTCAAAACTTGAAGTAATAAATATTTTGAAAACGAAAAACATTAGTGTTCTAAAATAAGCTATTTGAATAAGATCTACTCACATTTAGAAATAAATTAGGGATCCGAAAATAGACCAAAATACTGCCAATTCTGAACAGAAATACTGAAAAACCACTCATCCAGTTTTACGAATTTTGCGAATTAAATTTTACGACTCTTGTGAAATTTTACGAGTACCAAAAAAGCCAGAAATTCGTAAAATTCTTAATATTCGTAAACGTAAAATCACATCCCTGGTCCGGGCCTTTGTCGGGCCTTTGCGGGCCCTGTCATAGTTTCTTTCAGAATCAATATATTCGGACCAACTAACAACTAACATTAGATATGATAGATCTCGACGAGAACTACAAAATTATATTATTTCAAATACTGTATCTTGTCTGTGAGCAAAGTTGCAGACGAAACTGAAACAAAGGTCCGGCCCGGCTCGGCACGTCCGGGCAAAGCTATTACATGGCCTGTAACTTTGCTTATAAACAAGATAAGGTTTCCCAAATAGTATCATTTCGTACAACTCGTTGAGTTCTATTATATCTATTAGGTTGAGCAAAAGTCTCTGTAGTTTTTTTCTGAACCGTCATATCTCAGCGTTGATTTAACTTTTCATTATTCTGTTTTTTCTATATTGCAGTACCAGTTGTGCATGCTTAAAAGATTTGTTAAAGTTACCGACGGTGTTCATAATGACCGAGAATTTTCTCACACACCATGCTCTCAGGGGAGCTTTTTTGTTCGGGTTTCTCTAAGGTCACAAAAAAAGCGTAGCTTGTCGTAAATTGTGTACAGTGTTAGACCAGAACTACATGTCCTACTATACAAAAAAGTTTTGGTTCGAAAGATTCTCCGAAGAGAACTACGATCTCGAAGGTCTGGCTGATCTCAACGAGGATATCTTTAGAGCGCTAGATGATGAACCAAGAGTAACGTCACGCGAGCTAGCAGCAAGTCTCAACCATCCTCAAAAAACCATAATTGACATCTTCACGAATCTGGAAGGGTACCAAAGTTTGGTCAACTCGCTCCTCCCCTTTTGACTGAGTCGCTAAAACCAATGCGTTGCGACTTGGCACATTCTCGGCTTACTATGAAACGTAGTATCAATTAAGTTGAGAATATTATTACTGGGGACGAGTAAAAAAAACGATGGGTCTCGGCCGAGGAAACCGCTAAAACGGGCATCGAAGGAGAACTTCACGAGAATAAGTTTTATTTTCCATTTGGTGGGACGGTGAAGGCGTCATCTCCAGTAGACTTTTTCTAGGCGGCGTCATTATCAATGCGAACCTCAAGAGCACTCAAATGGAAAAAGCATTCCACGCTTATCGATTAAATTGGCCGAAAAATTCCAGCTTGTTGATGATTCATGACAACGCAAGACCACCCACTTCTTTGAAGACTTGTCAGAAGCTCCAGATGCTCGGAGTCAAGATCTTTTGTCATCCACCGTATTCACCAGATCTGGCCCTAACTGAATAGCAACTAATCCGTCTCCTTGTTAGGCAAAATTTCCATGATAGAAAGGATGTAAAAAAGTGGTTGGATGACGTTTTCGCTTCCCAGTCTACCGAGTTCTCCGCTAATGAAGTCGATCCACTTCCATCGCGTTGGCAAGTAGTCATGTACACTATTGGTGAATATATCACACATTGATTTCCGTGTTCTTTGAATACATTTTATTTTGTTTCGAAAAAAATTCAAAAAATTACAAAGACTTTTCACTCAACATAATAGTTTAAATAGTTGAAAAAAATTATTTTGAAAGAAACTATGGCAGTGCCTGCGAAGCGCCCGGAGTACAATTATGGTATTTTTTAATTATTAGTACGGATTTCAGAAACAAACTTACGATTCTTGGATCAAACTGGTTTCTCAAAACATCTTCGTTGAACTTCTGCATTTTTGATTCATCTGCATTGATTTCAATAATCAAATTCCTAGTGAAGGAATCCGATAAATCTAGTCTCTCCCATTTTTGGAGTTTCTGAAAACCAATATAACTTAATGATTCGTTAATTACTATAAACTTACCATATTGAGCTGAAAGATATTCTGCTCTTTGATACGATAGGCCGTATTTATCTCCAATTGGTCTTTTTCGGAGTGTGACACAGCAGGTTTCAACATTTCTGGAAAAAAGTTTGAAGGTAAGTTTGAGCAGGAAGCGCTGAAATAATTCAAAAATTGCAACGTAGTAAAGCAAGGGCCCAAAAATGGGAAAGTCTATTTTCTCATGGGGATTTGAATGTCGGATAACTGAAAAAGAAGTAATTGAATGAGTCAAATGCCATTCACCAATAACGGTGGTGGCGGTGTTTCTTTGAGTTAGATTTTTTTTCAAAATTTGAACTTTTCGGTTTGTTGAGACATATAAAGTGATTTTAACACTGGGAAAATGAAATACTGGCTGGAAAAGAATGAATAAAACAGAATCCAAAAACAGAGATTACCGCGAATACTCTAATAAGGGAACCTCAACACCTCACAAACCCAGATTTCGGTGAAAATTTCGGGATATGTTGAGAATCGCCTACCTAGACATCTCTAAAAATTTTAGAATCTGCCCACCAGTTTCAGTCGAGTTATATCAGTTTCAGTACTAAAAATCGCCGTTTCAGTTTTTTCAAAGTTGATTTTCTCCGTTCCTAGGAGGTTCCAGAACATGAAATTTGTTGTGCTAAACTCAAATTATCATGGAATTTGATATTTCAAATATTTCCTCAGAAAAATATTTTTATTTCAATTTTCGAAGAATCCTGGAAAATCGTTAAAAAATTCCAAAATAAAAATTTTTTGATGTTGACGAAATGTTTGAAATGTTAAATTTCATCAAACTTTGAAAATAACGCAAAATGATTCAAGTTCTGGAACCTCCTAAGAGTGAAGAATATCGCCTTTGAAAATCGTTGTTTCGCACTGAAACGCGATTTTCGGTACTGAAACTGATGCGCCTCGGCTGAAACTTGCGGGCGGATTCCAAAAATTTCAGAAATTTCTAGATAGGCAATTTTGAGCTTGTGCTGGAATTTCCATCAAAATCTGGGTTTGTGAGGTGTTGAGCTTCTCTTGTTAGGATTCCTAGATAATGTTTACAGATGATGGACGAGAATCTACAAAGCCGCCTCATTATTTTCAAAACTACCGTAAACACTCTAAAACAATGCCCCTCCTAATTGAACGCCACCCTCTAATAGAACGTTCTCTGAGCTGTGCTCTGAAAAATAGAATGCCACCCTCCAATTGAATGCCCCCCTCCAATTGAATGCCACCCCTAATAGAATGGTGCCTCGAAAAATAATATGCCATTCCCCAGATCATTAATTTGTTGCTTTTCCGAGAGGGTTGGGACTTTGTGCAGTACGCAAGTGGACGGTTTTCTGAATTTTTCCCAGATTATTCCCCCACTTTTCGCTTTTTATCAAAGTAATCAGAAACTTCGCAAAATTTTTTTGGCATCGAATATTAGAATGCCAGTCTCTAATTGAATGCCACACTTTAATAGAACGTTCTCCCAGCTATATATCAAAAAATAGAACGCCATGGTATTAAATTAGAGTTTTTACGATAGGTCTCCATTTTCAAGTCAAAAAAAGTTCCGCTTACCGGAAATACAGGAACCACTAGTAAAGTTTTGGAAATCAAACTTCCCGCCGAAAGCTGTGGTCAACAATGTCTGCGTCTTCTAGGCGCACATGGTCCCTCATCCACAGCTTCTAAAAGAAAACATCTACACGGACAAGCAACCTTCCAGAGACAGCAGGTGTCTCTATACTTCCAAACAAACAATCGTTTTTGAAAACGCTGTTTTTGCACTGAAACTGCCATTTTGGTACTTAAACTGATATAAATCGGCTGAAACTGCGGATTCTACGATTTTCAGAAATATCTATATAATTTTCAGAGATGTCTAGCGATTTTCAACATATTCCAAAATTTTCATCAAAACTTGGGTCTGTGAGGTGTTGAGGTTCCCTTGTAAAATCACACCAGCAACATAAGTTCTTTAACTTTCAACTTTAAGCCAATTTATCTCGGTTCTTGTGAGAGGCAGGAAAAAGTGGTACGCTAACAAAACATTTTCAATTTTATAGTAAACGTTTCGTCAGTTGACCGGTTTTTAATATCTTTCACAGAAAACGAGATATATGGGCTTAAAGTTGGCGGTTTGAGAGGCATCCAGATAGAGTTTACGATAATTATCTTAACCGATTCAACTAATTTTAAAAACTTATGATGAACCCAATATTTCGAAATTTTGAATTTGAAAAGATGAATGAGACCTGAGAAAGAAAAAGTGAATCACTTTTTTTAAAAGTGCAATTGTTTAAAAGGGCAACCTACAGTACTCATTTCTTGACCTTTTCCTTCGTGGTAAATGTCAAAATTTGAAAAAAAGAGAAAAACTCTTTCGAAAAAAGTTCACCGTAAAGGTAATAAAGATATTATGCAAATTGTCTTGTTTTCCAGTTTCGAAGGTAGTTTCTAATTAAAAGATAAGAAATCAGATAAATCAAGATAAGCCGAGATATGTCTAATTCCAACTTTTACTTGTATAAAAACGAAAATTTGATTCCTTCCTTATCTCCTGGAAAATCTTTTTGATCGCAAAACTTGACATGTGTTTGCTCATATTCAATATGTGTGAATTTGTATGAACTTTATTGTTCGCTGACCGTATTTTTGAAAAGGGATGATTTTTGTAACTTTATGGGTGAAAGACAAAGAGAAGAAATGAATAAAGAGCACGAGAAAAGAAAAAGGTAAGGGAAACGGGAATATGCAGAAGGAGAGATGATGCATTAAGCAATGAAAAAACCGTTAAAATTATTCGAAAGAATATTGATTGAGTTGAGGAACCAAGTTGTCGGAGCCGCTGGATTGGAGGAAGATTTCTCGTTACTGGTTTGATTTCTATTCCTTTTTCTGAGCCTTCGTTCTTGAGTCAGCCATTTTTCCACGTTTGGCATTTGAGGAAGGATTGGGAGCACTTCTTTGAGCATGGCGCTTTCTAGTCTGAAAATTATTATTAACATACAGTACTGGTTAGTAAGCTATAACATTCTTGTTTGGCAGCAAAGAAACTTGTGACCGGAAAATTTCAAAAATTTATTTGAAAGCGCATTGTTGGTGCCAGGTTCGGAATGGCCTTTTCGGAATTTTTTAGAATGTGGAATATTCCGATTTTAGAAAGTCAGAAATTCGGAGTTTTCCGATTTTGAAAATTTCGGGATTTCGGAAGTTTCAATATTTTTCAAAATTAGAAAAAATTCCGATCGGAATTAGATACTGAAAATGCTTCGGATATTTTCCGGTAGGAATTTTATCCCGAAAGTGGTCGGGGTATTCGGAATTTTCGGAATTTCGAATTCTGTTCCGAACATCCCTGGTTGGTCCTGAAACGAAAAAAAATACGGTTTTCACAGATAATTTCATGCGCCTTTAATACAGTACTTCCGAATTGATTAATTATTGCCTATTTTTCTCAGATTTTTGTTTTTTTAAAAAGTTAACTTCCTCCTGATTTTAAATCAGGTAAATTTTTTGATAAAATAGAAAAACAACCTAAGATGTATAAAATATATTTCGAGTTTCTGTATCAAAGATGCATGAATTTATTTGTAAAACCGTAGCTGTTTTTGTTTCAGGTGCGACGATGCCCCTCCCAATCAAATGTCGGCCGCAAGGCTCACCGGCGCTGTATGAGATTAGTAAAAAACCGTATTTTCCAATTTCTTCTGACCATTTAGATTTTTTCAGAAGTCTGCATTTTTTCAGAAGTCTGCAGTAACTTTGATCAAAAACTTTGTATTCGCAGAATTTTTTGAAATTATTTCAAAACAAGTTTTCTGAGACCTATTTTCACGTTTTCAGTACAAAAATGGGTCAAAAAAAGTTGTCTCTCAAAAGTCGGCAAATAACTGAAAAACTAGATAAGAAACTTTGCAGCCGAGCTCTAAACTTCTGGAATTAGTCGAAATAGCCGAAAATCAACTTGAAATACGTTTTCGTATATTTATTTAATGAGTACTGTAATTTTTCGTTTTTGAATCTTACATAAATTATTTTTTCTCTCCCATCAGAAGTTGATGGTTGTTCTCCGTAATCGTCATCATCGCTTTCATCAGACGAAGAAGACGAAGACGAATCAGATGAGTCCGAAGAGTCCGACGAACTAGATAAATCAGACTCATCTTGCCGGTTGTCGATGTTTTCCCATCCATCCGCTTTCTCACGATCCACTTCGGCAAACGCTTGACGGTACTCCAATGGGTATCGGTTTTCAAAAAACGGCTGGCCAGTAGCCTCAGCCAAATTTCGCAATTGAACAACTTTGTGGATTCTTCTCCACTTTCTCGTCTTTTTCAGCATCGAATTGTGGAGTACTATTTTGAGGAGACTCTTATCTTCAAAGTCTTTTTCTCGCTTCTCAGTGATCTTGTGCAGGAGGAAGCATTCTTCAACAGTTAGTCCACAAAGATAAGACATTTTTACCCTGAAAAATTTCTTTGTTACTGGAAACAAACAAACAATAAAAATGAGAAACACACGGAAATAGCGAAAAATAGAAAAAATTATATCGATTGTATTTTGTTCTCTGAAATTATAGGTACGAACTAGTGACGCGGAAATATAAAATTTTGCGAAAACCAAGGAGGATGAAGCGAGAGAGAAAAAGAAGGAAGAAAGATAAAAATGAGGAGAGGGCAGAGATTTTCGAAAAATAGACTGATATGCATATGGTGGGAATGCTATATGAGTCATAAAAGACGGTTTTGAGAATGTTTTGGTTTTTCTGATCAAAAATCAAAACAACAGATTTTCAGTGTCGTGTCATTCGGGGTTCGAGATACTGTAGCCGGATGGATATGAGTCAGAGTGATAAGATGGATATGATTCAGATCCACGAAGCCACGAAATCTGAAGGGTTCGAAAAGTTCCTGCGAAGGAGGTAGAGATCAAAACTATAAACGGGTAGATCAAACTATAAACAGGTAGATCAAACTTATGAAAAAATGAAACTCTTAGAGATATTGGTTGTTTTTAATAGCTAGAAAGAAGTACTACCATCTAGAGTAACGTGTCGACACGGTTGTCGAGCGATTTTGAGTCAAAATGTCGTTTCGAAGGAGCCGACAAAAATCGTGTCGACCTTCACCAAGAGCGATATCGTGTCGACAAAAGTCGACAATTGTTGACAAAAGTCGACAAATTTCGAGACGAGTCGACACGACACCGGCCTAACTATATGATGACCTAACATTCTCAAAATGAATTTTTTAGGACGCGTAACTTTTTATGCCTATAAATCATAGATGTCCGGAATGACTTTTTTGAGAGACGGAATCTGGAATAAAGTAATTTTTTCGGAATCCTGAATACGGACAAATGAAAATTTCACGGAAACCGGAACACAGAATGACAGTAATTTTCCGGATCCGGAATACGGATTCCTATAAATTGTATAATTTTCATCTAATGTGTTTTCCAGGTCATTTTAACATGGTGGCCTAACTTTTATAAGTTGAGTTTTTTAGGCCACAATGGTAAATGCTTAGAAATCACACCGGGATAATGATAGACCATTTCTAGGTCGTAAACTTTGGTGGCCTAGAAAATTTAACTTGCAACAGTTAGGCCATCATAAAGTTAGGCCGGTGTCGTGTCTCGACATTTGTCGACACGAATCAACAAAAGTAGACTCTGTGTCGACTCGTGTCGACACGATTTTTCAGTTATTTTTTTTTAATCGACACGAGTCTCTGCCGACACGTTACTCTACTACCATCTGAATTACAAAGAATATATTTTTTAAAAACCGACCAAGATTTGTCCCTCAAATCCTAAAAGTACATCAAACAATTAGAATATAAAGGACAAGAAAGGTGGTTTCCTACTGTAGCTCATAAACTCAAGTCCATTATCCGCCTCTCAAAAATGACGTATTTACAACATTTCTTGAGATGTGATTCCCTACTAATTGTTCTTTTCTCGCCTCCTCTTTCCGATATCTATAGCTATTAAGTCAAGCCATACAATTTTTTCGGGTCCCGACTCCACCCATTTCAATTTCGACCCTTACGAGGCTTTTTTCATTCTCTCAATTTTCTTTGACTTTTTTTCAGTTTGAAAATAAAACATCTTGGAATTTATTGACCTTATTTATGGGTTCTGAAAATCTCTTTGGTGGGGATTTCGATGATAAACTTCTCTGGACAAATTAAAATCTTGGAGATTCAGAAACAAAATTAGAAATTTCATGACTTTACTCGATTCTCCGATAAGTGTAAAATTCTTTGAACAATCAACTTGTGGTTTCTAACAAGAAAACCAATTTTCATATACAGTCTACGTTTCGAACTACCGTATTTTTTCAAAAAAAAAAAAAAAGCCCGCCCTATATTATCATTGTCAGAGAAAAAAAAGGTTGAGTCGAAGTGTATGCGATGTTTGTAAACAAATACCTGAAAGCGTAAACAACCGGAAACAGTTGAAACGAGTGCGACAGTAACCCGGCGGAAAAATATAAAATTTACTCATTTTTTAGCTTTTCGCATATTTTGCAGCAAATTTCGTCAAATATATTTTAAAATACAGCAAAAAACAATGAAAAACAAATCATATTCGACGAAATTTGCTGCAAAATATGAGAAAAACTAAAAATAGATAAATTTAACATTTTCCCGCCGGGTTACTGTCGCACTCGTTTCAACTGTTTCCGGTTGTTTACGCTTTCAGATATTTGTTTACAAACATCGCATACACTTCGACTCAACCTTTTTTCTCTGACAAGGATAATACATGCACTTTGAGTTCAATTATCTCGGTCCCTGCGAAAGATATCAAAAAATGCTCAACTAGAAAATTATTTATCATTTTATCACGAACATAATATCAGTTGCAGATTTCTGATATCAGTCATAGGAACCGAGATAATTGAGCTTGAAACGCACGTTTAAGATGGGTTTCTATTAGAGCAAATATGGTTATCCGAAAAAAGACTCTCGTTAGAACGGTAACTCACCTAGGAATCTTTCGAACCTACAGAAAAATATTCTAACAGTTCTCGTTGGATAAAGCATGATCTCTTTTCAGAAAGCTTGTGTAAACGTCACTCTTTCAAATCGTATTCTATGTGCCCTTCAAATTTTATGTGAAGTGCTTTTGGTTGCCCATAGATCCCGTCAAAAGCTATTTCTCTTTTGGTTCCGTCATTTCAGGTCATGTTTTCTGAAAAGGAACCCAGACTCTATGAAGATTTTCTGGAGGTGGTTGCCATCAAGCAACCACTCCACCCCACACCAAAGTCAGTTTCATATACCGTAAACACTCTAATAGAACGCCACCCCCAACCGTCCATTTTGAGCCTACATATCTCACTTCTTTTGTAAGATATCAACAAGTTGTAAACTGACATAATGTTTATCATAATATCAGCAACATTTTATTAGTGAACCACTTGTTGATATCTCTCACAGAAAATGAGATACATGGGCGCAAACTTGACGATTCGGGTGGCTTTCTATTAGAGTGTTCACGGTAAATCAAAGTTTAAAAAAGGCAAAAAAGTTTTCTAGGGTCCTAAAGAAACGAACTGTGGTACGCGAGCCGGTCAAGTATCCAAAGTTCTACTGGTTTCCAATCTGCATCGTGTTCGATGCTGTCGAATGGTGTGCAACGAATCTAGTGGCTGCATGTCGATTCCGCCGACCCACTCGGAATGACACTGTCACATGCGTTTAATTACTTTTGATTGTGTTCTTTTCAATTTTGTGGTGAATGAAAAAAAAGATAAATGAATGAAGTGGAGAGGGATTCTTATAGACTGAGCTTTTAGAGCTGATACAGTACTAATCAAACCATTTTTTCAGTTTTGCTACCTAGCGTTAAAACATGACAGCTCTTTCAGTGCTTACTTAGAAAAGTATATGTTAGAAAAAAAAATAAAAAATGCTTCTAATCAATCAAAAATAGAACTTTGGTTTTTTAGTTGACCGCTTGTTTGAATAAAACTTCTCCAAGCTGATAAAGAAGCAAAATGCCGCGAATTTTCTGATAAAACTGTTTTGAAAAGTGAAGAAATGGAAAGGAAAAAAGTTTCTGCTAGTATTCTTTCTTGACATTGATTTTCATATGAAGAGGTGCAGTGAGTTTTATAGGTCCAAAGTTATTTCATACAAATAAGGTGGAAAGTACATTGCAGTCGTGTTTCCATTTTTGATATTTGGTAAATCTGAAATTAATGAAACACTTTTAAAATTTGTGAAGTTGGCACATGTTTTGACTGCTAATAGAAAAACTAGATTTACTATCAGAATTTTATTTTCTGTCTTGTTTGGAGAATCCAAAAACGAATTTCTAAAAAGGTAGAAAATTGTAGGTTACGCTAGTTGTTGCTTTGCGACAGGACCTGAGCACCAGCTGAAATACAGAAATACAGAAGGTAAATGTACTGGAAGGTCTTTCAGAAAACTTGGATTCCACTTTTGTGGAGAATGAGATTAAATTGGTGCGAGCTAGTACGTACAACGAAGTGTTGCATTCCTCAGCTGTCAAGCTCAAATGCCACAAATGCTTCGAAAAAAAAGTTGCAGATGTTCGGGGCAGGTGGTCAAAAAAATATTCATCAAAAGAGGAACATCTGAATTTGCAGCTGTGAAAACTGGCCTTTTCATTCTTTTGAAATTTAATTACTTTATTGGTAAGTTCTATTTCAGAATTATTTCTCAACATAAAAAAGATAATTGATATATGAAATAATTTGTCTTCAAAATTCATTTATTTTCAAATCAAAGTACAAAAAAATATGCAGGTTTCAAGAAATAAGAATAAAGGAGAAAAGGAAAATTTTAGATAGGAATTGTAGAGAATCACTGCCATGTTTTCACAGGCATATTTGGCTTTTTCATTATTTGAGATGTCCTTTAACATTATTAGAGAAAAAGAGAGGAATAAAGGAATCCCGATTCCGGATAGATTTGTCGATTAGGGGAAGAAAAAAAAAAGAAAGAAAACGGGTCCAAGAAAAATTCAGAAAATTCTAGAAGCAACGTTTCATTATAGTGGAGCTGCTGCAACTGGCTCTATGCGACTGTTTCTGTCCCCACGATCTTCACCAATGTGGACGAATTTATGCCATGAAGGATGAGCATCGGGTCCTGGAAGCACTGCTTCTTGAAGTGGATTGTAGACAAAGGTTCGGTATGCAACGAATTGATTACTATGCGCACTAGGAATTTCGGAAGCTCGTGAAGTGGATAAGATATCATCAAGAACCTCGTTGAAGTGTACTGCAGGGAGTTCGTCATCTTCTCCTTCCTCGACATCAGTTTTTATTTCTTGGTATTCGGCAATCAGTTCCTCGTCAAACAATTCATCCACATCATAGATTCCTTCCTCATCGACTATTCCTTCTTCAAGTATGATTTCTTCATCAAAATTGATATCATCGCCATCGATAATGTCTTCATATTCCAAGCCGGCATCAACCCTTAGTTCTGCCTTCTCTTCTTTGTTATCAGCATCATTGTGAGGGGAAATCGGAGTTTCATCAACGTCAACGTCCATTTCATTAGAACTTTTCTATTTCGAACTATTCTTCTTGTCATGCTTATTCAAAACCGCGTTTCCACTAGTTTCGCGGTCGATCATCCTCCTTTCTTTGAAGAACTGAATCACCTGAAAATATAAATTTACCTAATAAAAGATAATTCTCTTACATACAAATGTTTCAAGAAGTCCCGTTAATAGGTACAGCTCAGCAATTTGTTTTTGGCTCTCTATGAAAGGATATTTGTTATAAGCCTTTTCGAGAATGTTCATCGGAAAGGGCAACGTGGGGAGCATTCCTTCGACGTAACGTCTCATTATTAAAACTCGTTTTTCGAAAAACCATGCTATCTGAAAAAATAAATACTTCAAAATTGCTTTTTTAGGCAATAGCTAAAACTGACCGTTGCTAGGCAGATCCAAATTTCTTTCTAGATCTTCATCGATATCATTTTTATCGATGAACTTTTTAGTTGAAAACCAATTTTCCAGAATGCTTATTTGGTGTTCTGTGGGCTGCTGAACCTCAAAATTCACATTTTTAAAGTTAGCCACTATTAAAATATTTATTAAACTGAAATTGATTCACTACTTACGACTTTTTGAGGTCTGCGTGGCGGCCTTGGTATGTTGGAATATTCTAATTCCCTTTCTAATTGCTCGGATGAAGTTGCCAATCTGAAATAACATAATATTCGTACATCTCAGCTTCTTAAATTCATAGTTGCGGAGTACATAGTTGCTTGGAAAAGACAAATTCAGAGATCGAAGTTCCTCAGGTTTTTAAGAGCCAAAAAACTACGTATTGTCAAAAAAATTATCTGAATAAAAACTCACTTTCGTTTTTGACCAGCCAGTTCTGGCAATCAATGCTTTGTCGGAATAATTAGAAAAGTGGGGATTTTCTTGTAGAATTACTTTGATTAAGTCCACGGCATTTTCGTCTATTATCCTTGTCGCTGTAAAAGTGTTTCAAAATTGAATTTAGCTCAGATTAGTTGAGAATCCATACTTCAAGTCGTTCCTCCTGTTCTGCTGATAACCCCTTCTTTTTTTTTCGTCTCCTTCTTTTTCGGAGAAGCTGGTCTCTTAGCAGGAGCTGGTTTCGGTTTCTATAAAAATCGTTTGTGAATGCTAAGAATTCTTGAAATTTCAAGTGTTTCGTTGCTCTACCGAACCTCTTCAATCTCGTATTCCGAACCTGATTCGTCTTCTGATTCTCAGGGCGATTCTGATGACGACGGGTAATAATCATTTGTTTCTTGGAACGCGGATGATGAGGAACATTGTCCGTTATACTCGGTCATGTTTGAGGTTTCGACTGAAGTGTCAAAGTTATTTTTCTGCCGAACACATCTTTCGCCTGAAATTATATTTCTCATCAGAAAAAATTGAAGAAAGAAACTTACTGGAAGATTTTGTTTGGGCAATGTCGAATGTAGTGAAGCTATGGTTTGGGTCTGGCGGCTGAGACTTCTGCTGAAAATTGGACATCTGAACTAGGAAAAATCAAAAAGTATTTATATTGATTTCAGAAGGAAATTAGATCAAAATTGGGGTTTTTCCAAAGGATAGAGTTCGTAAAATGACATTAATGGATACTTTAATGGTCTTCTTTTTGTATCATTTATGACCTGACCAGAATTATTATACTATTCAGGAATCATATCAGTCATACTTTCACATTTAAATGAAAAATGATAAAATCATAACGGTTCCAAAACGCTTTCTGAGAACGCAAAATCGAGTGCATGAAAGAAATAACCCATGCTTGCGCGTCGATTTTAGAGTGTACTAGTAATCTAGAGAAAATAGAAGCAGAGAACAGTCATAGAAAAGGAAAAAGGGACACGAGACGACGGAGAACCTTCTCTGAAAAAAGAGGAAGGCGAAAGAGGAATAGCTGACCCGCATGCAATGGCCTTGTCGTGTGCTATGCTAGAGAGCAGAAGCAGCAGCTGCTCAGGTTTGTTTTCGAGAGACAATTAATTGCGATATTCTTGTCAAGGTCACGCTTGGATCGTTTTCACAATTAAATAGTGAAAAATATTGCAATTTTGAAGATGGGAAATTGATTAAAAAATAGTTCCTTTTGTCGAAAAAAAAACAGTAATGCCAAAATGGAGGCACCAAGGACAGCAGTTTCTTATCAATTGAACAGAGTAATCACGATAAGCTACTTTGAAAACAAGTGAGCTTGCTCTCTAATGTAGTTCGAAATTTATTTTTGTTTTAAATCACAATAAACATGGAGATGGCTGGAGATGAATATTGAAACGAGAAATTGAAAGTGATGAAGAAATTTGAGATTGACAATGAGTCATCGGAAAATGAACCGTTTTTGGTGAAAAAAAAACGGAAAAATGTGAAATTCAAATGATGAAATTTATAGAAAAGTACCGTCCGGTTTTCACGAAGCACGGATATTCAAAAACTTTAATCACATCTAACCACACTAATCACACCTATTGGCAAGAGAATTTAATAATTTTCGATTATGTAGCATAACTTTCTAAAAGTATCTTCAAGGCATTTAGGAATCATCCAGGTAACATAAACACCTTAACACAATACACGGCTTGCAATTTGAGCTTAACTATACTTGAACTTTGAGCTCAGTTATCTCAATTTCTATGATGGATGTTAAAAACATATCAATTGATTAAATATTTGTCTTAACATGAACAACATTTTATCAGTTGACATGTTTTTGATGTCTCTCAAAGAAATGGAGATAACTGAGCTCAAAGTACATGTATAAGAAGGCTTTCTATAAAAGTGTTTGCGGTTACTAAATCAGTAGAGGTTTTCTGAAAAACTACGAGCATAATTTAAAAATTACTGTCATTTCAAAGAAAGGCATTGCAGATTTCCTAAATTATGAAGACCGCTAAAAAAGAGTCCTCGTCCGATTAATGGCTCAAAAACTCAAAAAAGAACTCATGTATTCTCGAAATCAAAATTTAAATGCCTCTAGTGTTCTTTCATGCCGAAGACAGCTTACAAGTGGGTCAGCTATCGACTATGACTCAAAAGTTTGCAGAAATTACAAACTCACACGCACTTTCTGAGGATCAGATTTTTTGATCAGTCGGAAAAAATTCCAGTAAACTAGATTTTAAAATTTAAGGTCCCAATACTCTGGAACGTACCTCAATTCTTTGATATTTCATGGTATTCATGGTCTCTGACCGTAAACTTTCAATCACTTCTGTATCAAATTTCTATTTGACCAACAATATTCAGCATGATAAGGATTTTCCCATAGATTTATATGATGCCTAAACTGCGTCGCTTTTGCTTTTCCTAGTTCCAGTGATGCACAACTTCTAACGAGGTTAGTTCATGATCAGATTTTGTTTGGAATCATCCAGGTTCCCAAATTGAATGCCGTTTCATTTTCAAAATGCATATCCTAGATACATTATTCGCTTCGCGAGCGTGCGAGTCTCGAGGCCTTCTTCACGATGGAGATGTCTAAAGTCGCTGAGATTTTTATGTGAAGTGGCATGGTCGCTTGGAGACCAGCCGAGTCACATCAGCCCATTTTTGGGATTTCATTTTGACTTTCGCTTTTTCGAAGAATGGCGACCTACGAAGAGCTACTGGCTCAATCCTTTGGCACGGACGAACAAAGAGCTCGGTACGTATACCCATATCAAAGCCATAGACACTTTTTCCTAAACTCCCTAATTTCAGATATAGAACATTCCCACGACCACGTCCACGTCGTCGTGCACCAGAACCACCAGAATATTATGGAAAAGTGATGACAACATGCTGCATTGCAACTGACAGCCTGATCTACTGCGTCCAGTATTCCGTGAAAGCAGTCGTGAAACTGGCAAGATCTTTCTGCATTTCTCTGAATCAGGAGGCGTCCACCACTGACCCAGAAAACACGAATGCTGTTGAAACAGTTGCAACAGACGATGCTGATACTGATACAATCTTCACAGATGACGACGAAAATGATTCTACTATTACAACGGAAGATGCCGACACTCTTCCGATAGATGAGGTTGAATCTAAGCCTTCTGACTATGCCTATGCTTACAACCACGGCGCGTCTGATGGTGAAGACACTGATAATGATGCTTTTGAAATTGAGGACTCACAAGATGAGGAGACTGATGGATACGCCGGTGACAGTGACGCCACTCTCGAAAACTGAATTTTAAGACCCTTATTCTGTTTTGATTTTTCTTTGTTTATGATTCCATCGAAATTGTTTGAAAAGAAAAAGGGAGAAAAATGAACAACTGAACTGTTAAAATAATTTTTTCATGTATTGAACACAAAGATCGCCGTGTCACTATAATATTTTCGGCTTTAGCATGTCTTAGTTGGGCAAATAAAATGCTTCCTGACCACCATGTTGAAAGATCCATGAAAGTGCGATGTTTGGAATAATCCTCAATTTGAGCGTATTTTAGGTCAAAATTGCCGATTTTGTATGAATTTTTTAATGTATTGAACACAAAGATCGCCGTGTCACTATAAAATTTTCGGCTTTAGCATGTCTTAATTGTGCTAATAAAGTGCTTCCCTACCGTCATGTTGAAAGATCCACGGAAGTACGATGTCTGGAATAACCCTCAATTTGACCGTATTTAAGGTCGAAATTGCCGATTTTGTACGAATTTTTTCGTGTATTGAACACAAAGATCGCCGTGTCACTATAATATTTTCGGCTTTAGCATGTCTTAGTTGTGCTAATAGAGTGCTTTTTGACCGCCATTCCGAAAGATCCATGGAAGTACGATGTCTGGAATAGGCCTCAATTTGAGCGTATTTTAGGTCGAAATTGCCGATTTTGTATGACCTTTTTCATGTATTGAACACGAATATCGCCGTGTCACTTTAGTATTTTCAGCTTAAGCATGTTTTAATTGTGCTAATAAAGTGCTTTTTGACCGCCATTTCGAAAGATCCATGGAAGTACGATGTCTGGAATAGGCCTCAATTTGAGCGTATTTTAGGTCGAAATTGCCGATTTTGTATGACCTTTTTCATGTATTGAACACGAATATCGCCGTGTCACTTTAGTATTTTCAGCTTAAGCATGTCTTAATTGTGCTAATAAAGTGCTTTGTGACCGCCATTTCGAAAGATCCATGGAAGTACGATGTCTGGAATAGGCCTCAATTTGAGCGTATTTTAGGTCAAAATTGCCGATTTTGTATGAATTTTTTCATGTACTGAACACAAAGATCGCCGTGTCACTTTAGTATTTTCAGCTTAAGCATGTTTTAATTGTGCTAATAAAATGCTTTTTGACCGCCATTTCGAAAGATCCATGGAAGTACGATGTCGAGGGAATTTTGAAGAGTGAATTTTTGATTTTTTAGGATTTCTGGCGGTCTGGATTCTCTGAGGACCACCGATTCTAGGAAAAAACTCAGATTCTTGTTTATTTCATCGTTATGTCATGCCCGAAAGTGTATTTTTCCACCAAAAAGTCCGAAACTAGCTCAGTTTATCAAACAAATCGCGATGTGTTCACTGAGAACGTTGTCGAAGAAGACAAGAAAACTCACACGTATTTAGACTTGTTGAAAAGAAAATTTGCAGGGTTGAACGAATTTTTGATTATTTTATTTTTATTTTTGACCCGATTTCGGGCCATTTGTTCATGTCAATCTTTTCCGGTTTCATATAGCAGATGTGTAGAGGGGTCACCTTGGATAGTGTTGGATTCCCCGTGACGGCTCCAGAGAAACAAGCTACCTCCTTGTGCGTGCTGTCTGGTAAAATAGGGGAAAGTGCATCGGTAACAGGGGAACTAGTTATGTCTGTAGCGAGGAGTGGGGCGACGAGCGGGCAGATAAGCGGTGTGGAAACAATAATAACAACAGTAGTATCAGTGACCCATTTATTGAGCTATATATATTTAATAAAGAGAATATATCGTCAATAAGAGAGTTCCTTGGAGTCGGGCTGGCTTGGAGACGGACGAGAAGGACATCACTGATCACTCAATAGTTGAAGGGGCAAAAAGCCTTGCGCAACAAAAACCCTTCTCCTACCGGTGACAAGCTTATCGCTTCTCATAGACAAAGTTTCCAATAGCACACGCTTCCTAGTGGTCACGATGAGAGTACTGAAAGGAAAACACTCATGAAACAGGTCACAGAACTGGCCGTTAGTCTATTCAGATGGAAATCTATATCAACTCACATCATTAGCGGTTTCCGATAGTCCAATAAGGCCGGTAAGGCGATCGGGGATCGCCGGAGATCTTATAGTATTGGAATAGTAGGAAAAATGATGAGTAACGAGGTTGATGGACTTGCAAACTGAAGGGAAACGTCACGGAACAGCACTAACTACTAGACTAGACTTAGACTGAGTAAGACTCAGTTAATCTGCGTAAGAATCAATTAATCTGACTTGAGTTGATCTCTGCTCACTCGTAAGCAAAGCTTCGATGGGATCCATTATCTTGTATCAGAGAACAACAAAGGGGGTCTGTAGGTTGAAGAAAACAAACAGAGTCCGTGGGTCAAGAAATGCCAAACTCTAGAAATCAATCACAAAGGAAAAATATTTCAAAAAATAGGATTATTCGCTCTAAATAGGGAAGGTTGTTTGTGAGTTATGGGACTTCGTTATGAGACCTATATCATTCGAAAGCTGAAAATGAGACATTTTCAAAAATGTAATTCGATTTTGCTGCGGACTTACCATATTCGAGAAAATCGAGTTTGAAATCTCATTTTTGAAAAAGCAAAGGGGGACCCCATGGTGACTTTTTTCCAAAAAAATTTTTTTTTTGAAAAAACATGAAAAACTTACAGGATTATACTGTGTTCTCTGAAACTGTTTGAAATTGTGGTTACATGCTTTTGAAAACTATTTTTGAGTCATTTTTTCAAACCACTTTTCGACTTTTGAGAATAGAAAGTTAATGGTTTACAAAAGATTTTGGATGTTTTTTTTTATTGTGATCGCAAATTTAGAAGTTTCTGTACAATGTGACCAAGTTTAAGCTTTTTTTTTCAGAAAAAAAATTTTGAAAAAAATTTCCATGGGGTACCCTTGACTTTTTTTTTGAAAATTTTTGAAATTTTTTTTTCGGCTGAAAAGGTATTAAACGAAAAAGAACAAGAAAATTAGGTTTTTTACAAAATTTGATAACCTATTTTCTTCTCGGGATCAAGACATTTTGATTCTTTTTCTGATTTTCAACAAACCGTAGTACTACGATGATCGCCCAGTAACACTCAAAATTTGAGAAATCATAGACACAAATCATATCTGATTGTGTGTGGCTCTTAAAACGAACCATCCTTATGAACTTTGACAAACAAAAGCTGTGTGAAAGTGTTTAGTGTTGATTAACGAAATAGTCAAAAACTAGATATTACTTAAAACATTTAAGAAAGTACAAATTTTCAGTATCAAAATGAAATTTTTTTTGAAAAATGTGTTCGGAACATTTTGAAGATTTCCACAAAGACCGAAAACAAAAACAAAAACAAACAAAGGAGAGAGGAATCGAACCCAACCCTAGTCAGTTACCGTCCTCCCTCTTCACCGCTACACCACCAGTCGCTGCTTTCAACTAGTTCCACAATGCATATAAGAAAGGGGGGAGATCTGGCCCTCAAAATATTCGAATTTCAGCCAAATTTCAAATTCGATTTTCTCGGAGCTGGAATGTCCGCAGCAAAATCTGAATATATATTTGAAAATGTCTTATTCTCAGCTTTCGAATGATATAAGCCTCATATCAAAGTCCCATACCCCAGTTACAACCTTCCCTAGTGAGTAAAAATAGGCCAGTAAATCCGTTTCGAGTGTGTGTGCGCCTTTAACCCCTTTGTGGCGATACCTCAACGATAGGGCGCGCTTGCACAAAGGGAGAGAAAATTGGCGGGAATTTGAATATGAGAAAGCAATAAAAGACTAATAAAAAAAGGAAAATAAAGAGAATAAAGTGGGATATAGGAAGATTTCTGAGGAGTAAGCACAGTGGGCTGGGCCTAGAGGTCCTCAGAATATCTTAAAGTTGTTGAGTCGGTAAATAGCCACGTGGACCCGACAACAACATGACGATAAACAATGCAAATATAAATTTCAGTCGCATCCTCGTAGATTTGAAGGAACACTTGTAAATTAAGCTTGAAAACTCTCGAAAACCAAATTGTTACAAAATTTCACAATCCTAAGACTTCAGACGACGATTTACTTTCCGACGATGTGTACATTAGAATAAGAGTTCGTGGTTACGAAATAGGTTTGTTCTCAGAATTTTAGGGTTGGATTAGAAAACGCGCCTAGGGCACAAGGAAAAAAATGTTAGAAGATGAGACACAGGAGAAGGTATGCTGGAAGCTTTTCTGGGTGTGGGCCATGGAGCAACATCATTGGAATCTGAAAAGTTTCAGGAGTTAGAGACTGTAGAAGGTTGGAGGATGAGAATTCCACTCTTAATTTTTAAAATTCAATATTTCACGTGAGCAAATGTTATTTCGTGACTCAAGGTGGAATGTACGTCATGGCTTTGAGCAATAAGACTGCAAGCTGTATTTTTTTAAATTGCGATGTTTCAACCAGGAATGTCATTGGAGTCAAGAAGAAGACTCATACATTTTTTGACTCATTTGATAGAGGATGTTAGAGTTTTCTCAATTTTTGGAGAAGTCGATGCTGTCCATGGGTTCTGAGAGTTTCTTACCGAGAAGAACAACAGTTCTAATTATGGTCGATTTTGATCACTCCAAGCATAGGCTTTTCCATCCTAGTTTTTTTTCATCTCAATATATTTTTATCATTTTTGAAAGTTAAATATTTAGTAATACGATGCCCCCAGATTTGGTGTTACTCCAGAGAATCTGAAAAATTCTAAAATCGTCTTGCTGTTGTCTAAAAAAATTTTTATGTATGTTCTGTCAATTTTCTTTTTTCTTAAAATGAAACCTAGTTGAAGAAACTATGAAACAATACATTTATTTTTTGGTGGTAAGATGGGGCCATATCAATCGTTTCAGGCAATGCGTAACCGGAGCCATATGACACAGAAAAAGGAAAGTAATATTTAAATTTTTCACAAATGATGGGCAATAACAAAACCGATATATATATGAGATGGTGAGAGTACTGAGGTGGGGAGTCATAAATTAAGTGTCATCTACTCTGAAAGCTAGGATAGACCACTTCAAACTATAAAACACAACTACATCTGAAAGTTAGGTGTAAATTGAGTCGTTACCCAATAGACAGTTGGCTTATGTTGAATGAGAAAAAGTTGGGAGAAGGATCACAACCGATAATCTCATTTTTGGTGGGAGATGATTAGGAATACAATTTAGGATACATAGGGAGATTTGCCTAAAGTAAACCTAATTAAGAAACACTACAAAATTATACAATTTTGGTGGGAAAATATTAAAACTGTTATATGGGGTGTGTAACCGGGTACCGTAAATAAGGCACAATGGGGTAGACAATATGATAAAACTATTATTTTCCGAGACTTTTTGGGTTATACAATACCCTTAGATTTACGGAAGGACATTAAAAAGGCAAGTGTGGCAAAGGGGATAGCTAAATTAAATCTCGACTATTATTTGATGATAGAAGGTTCGAGGAAGGGGCACAAACTTCAACATCATATTAGGAGAGGATGATTGGGGATACAACATTTTACAACGACTAAGGAGACTTGCTTAAAGAAAATTGAGACATTTCTTGGGTGTATTGGGAGAAATATGATGATCATGAGCACGATGAGGCGATTGTTTGGACTTCAATATCTACGATGACGACGAGGGGGCTTGTCCGCGACCCATTGCATAGTACCATAGACTTTTTCGGGTTTGATGATACCCTTCGTGATTTCCTTCATTCCACACATTCCCATACAGTAAATACCCGTGCAGAACAGAGTCTCGATATTGACTCCAGAGCCGGCCTATGAATAAAAAATAATCGTAAGCCAGGCAAATTTTTGCTCACCTTTGTTTCGTCACCAGTATTCTTCTCCTTCTCCAATTGAATTTGAATATACTCCTTAGCCTGAGCATTCCATAAGTTATCCGTATCCACCAAGCGAGTGTACTTTGGAAGCGAACTCCATGACTTGAACATCTGGAAAACTCAATTGTGTTGTGAATTTGTCAACAAAAAAACTTACATCACTGCTCGACGCGATGAAATTCGACATATTGCTGTGGAAATGGAATTCCATGGGGAGAGTTCTCAGTGAATCCTTAGATGGCGAAATCGAGAGGAAATCAGCAGTGTCAATTGACCAGAAAATGGATCGGGAAGCGTCAGATGGATCATTACCAATGTAGACTCCGCGGAAGTAGATAAGCTCCTTTTTCTTGTTGTCAGGCATGTAGATAACCAAAAGTCCACTTTTGAAATACTCGTCGTCATTTTTATCTAATCCAAAATCGTCTTGGAAATTCTTATCCAAGTTGAAACGATCGAAGAACCAAGCACCGAAATCTTTGGAAAATTTTTTAGCGACGGTGAAATTTGTCGAGCTCCGAGGATCGATCGGAGGAGCAGCAAGAGATTCGTTGACCATATTCATCGATTTTTCGAACCGAACGCAAGAGAAGTTGTCTGTGTCTGGACTGGTTGAAGAGGCGTTCCAAAATCCAAAAAGACTTTCCTCGGGTGGCATTGAAATACAACGGCGTCGGAAGGATTTCATATGACTTTTTTTTTGATGCTCTGAGATCCACTTCTGCACTTTGGTCTTTATTTTACTGACTTTGAGAGAGCGGAGTTGCTCAGCCACGTTGCAAACTCTATGTGCAAGCTGTAAATACAAAATCAGTGAAACGCAAACGTTACAAAAAAACTTACTACACCGTCCATAGCATACGGATCCTGAGAAATGTCAACGAATCCATCACCATCTCCACCATAGTGATTGAAGTTGTTGATGAAAGCGTTGTCGCAGGCTGTAAAATATACAATATTTATTTAAGCAAATCATTTAGAGGGTACAAAAATTTTGGGGCCATTGGGTTCGAAGCGATTTAGAGCTCTTCACTTCGGAGGTACAAAAAACCAAAAAAAATTCCTTTGTACCCCTAAATCGTTGTACCTTGAATTTTTGCACCATCTGAATTACCGTATTTCCTCTAATAAAAGCTACTTGTAAAACTTGTTTATCAATGGTTTATTTTCAAAAAACTCTTTTTTTCAAAAATTCAGAAATTCGTCATTCCGGAAGATAAGGCTTCTGAGTGTTTTGGAATATTCGAAATTTTCATTCTGCAATTCTACATTACAGAATTACGAATTTACGAATTTCTGAGATTCCAGGATCTCAAAACTCAAAATTCTTAAATTTTGGAAAACAATCTGAAATTCTGAGCTTCCGAAATTTATAAATTAGAAAATTCCAAAATGGAGAAATTCTGGAGTTTTGAATTACCGTATTTTTTCTATTAGAAGCCCATGAGATTCTATTAACAGTGGGCTTTGAACAGAAGCAGGCTTCTATCAGAGGAAATATGGTATGTGCCAAGTAGTGAACACTTCCACTCACCATCATTGCCCAGCAATTCTTCTCTGAAGTGCTTTCCGGCCACGGTCCCTGCCATTATTTCCGCCTCCATCGCCGCTTCATAGTGCTCATCGTGGTTTTTTCGATGTTTCTCATCAGGCATTGTGGGAAGGTGGAGTGTTCCTGAAAGAAAGTATGTGAAAATTCTACGGTATTTTGCGGTTGTTAAATTTCGCTTGTTTTTTCGATGCCTGAGAAAAAAAGATTAAGAGCGGATATCTAGTCGAATTTTTCTAAAAGTTAACTTCAGTAACTTCAGAACCTATGTCAAATTTTGACGATTTCCATCATTTTTGTATAATAATAATCATTTTTCTTTCCGATTTATATCGAAAAACGGTATGAATCGTCGAAAAATTGAACGAAAATCCAATCTCAACTTTATTTTCTCAGACATCGATATCAACTTGTAGCCTAAAATACTCTAAACTTGGAACTTTTTTGGAACTTTTAGATCTATCTTAAACGAAACAAAAACTCACGTCCGGACAAAAAATCAGACACATAAGCGATCACTTCCGTTTCATCAATTCGAACCTCCGGGAGTTGAGAAGTAACCGTGTTGATTGAGTAATCCAATGATCCACAGTTCGATGACATTTTGTTCGGACGAGATTGATCCCAAAAGCTCAAACAAACTGGCAAGTGACAGAAGCTGGATAATTAACCTGAAAAAAAGAGTTATTAAAATCCACGAGATACGATTCAAAGATAATTAAATGGAAGAATGTACGGAACAGATATGCAAACAAATAGGTAATTTTTTCGACGAACGCGCTCACTTTGTGTGTTAATCGTTCTCTAAATAACACACACACAAAATGGTCCTTTGGACGGGAAAGAGAATGGGGGGGGGGGGGGGGAGAGGACACTGCGCAACACAGTTGAGGTCAATTAGCCCCCTCATAATATAATAGAAGAACCCTTTCCCGCTCAACTTGTAGGTCAAAAATAGAGAGGAAGGGGGAAGAAACGCGTCTAAGAAATGGGTAAAATGTTAATAGAAAAAATGGAGAAGAGGTGCAAGTCTGCGAAAATGAATAAAATGTTGATAGAAAAAAAAACATATTTTCGGTTTATCATTTTTGTGACTTGCAACATTGTTAGCACGATTTTTAGAGAAAGAGAGAAAGAGAAAGAGAGAGAGAGAGAGAGAGAGAGAGAGAGAGAGAGAGAGAAAGAGAGAGAAAAAATATCAATTCAATAAAAAAGAAATTAAAGGCAAACAAGTAAATTATTTTTCCAAGCAATATGTTTTCTAATAGAGTTGGACTGTGACCGAAAATTTGCATTGCATCAAAATATTTTGAGAAATACTTCACTTCACATACTAACAAAAAAAAACACGATGTATTAGCAAAACCTTAAAAAATCTCTAAAACAAGCAAAGAGTCTCCATTCTCGTTCATTTTCGGAAACTTTTTTTTTGCCATTTCTACCATTTTTCATAGATGACAGATTTTCCAAGTTTCGCGGAAACTTGAAAACATCGAGAACCTTTATCGACATTTCTCTAGAAGCGGACAGGAACAGAGATTGCTTCTCCTGCAGTTTAATAAGGCACAAAGTGATTTAGGTGTACGACGTGCGAATTTTAACATTTTCGTTCAGGAATTTTGTACTCACAAGTTGTGGATTTTGTACCCTTCGATAACTTTGTATCCCAATGAGCCCAAATTGTGAAATTCAAATAAAACATTGAGACACAACAACAGTTTCATGATAGATTTTAAGTTCAGATCATTTTTTGGTATGTGTTGTTTGACACCTCTACCTCAAAATCGTTTTTCGTTTGTCTTGAACTCCAGAAGACAAAACCTTGAATAAAGTTTTTTTAAAAGCCGACTGTTCAAATTTCTTATTTTGTGACGAATCATTTTCCCCCAGACCAAAACGTCACATTTCGAAGTTTCTGTGAAGGTGCCACTTCAGACATGACTTGTTGCGGTGAGCTACAGCCATGGTTACTCGGAGACATTTTTCCACATAGCCAACTTATTCATTTTCCTTTTGTTTTTGTCTGAAAAGGCGTTGGGATCCACACGAACTATGTAAGTTTTTTTCCATCTCCTCTTTTCAGACCAACTTAATTTTTAGGACTATCAATGATTCCGAAGATTCTTCGGACTGCAGCAACAACGAATCTTTATGTCTACCACATTTCAGCACGTAAGTTGTCTTTTTGAAACCAAAAAAATTACGTTCGGTTTAGAAATCTATAGCATGATCAATTTTTATGAGTTTGTAGATGTGAAATTAGTTATTTTCTAGATTCGGTGGATTTCAACAACTGAAAACTAATGTGGGTACTACAGGCAATCATTTTGTGTCTGCAGAGGTCACAGCCAGATTTTTGCAGCGCTCGCTGACGTAAGCTTTTCTAAGAAGTTTCTGATCGTTTTTGTTTTATTTCCAGGTTTGCCGGAGCTTCTCAATCCTCGAATAAAAAATCAGTAGTAGAAGAAGTGATCACTGAACAGCCTCGTCGAAAGTGAGTTCATTTCTTAGCGACAGTTAAATTTCTAATCAACTTCAAGATAATTTTTTTTTGTTCCTGTGACAGATATCGAGAAATGATCAACTAGTGAAGTGATATTAAAAGTGAATTGCCAATTAGAGCTTTTCCAAAACATTTCAGAAAAACTAAGAGAAGCTGGCTCAAATTCTACGGCCAAGATGCATTTCTGTTAATCACTGTTTGACTAATATCATTTTCAGGGTCGAAGAAATTCCGAAACCATTTGAACCGGGACCACGTACAGAAATTCGCTGGCACAACGCAATATGCTGCGCTGTTATCGAAGCCATGGCAACTACGCTGGAGGTCTGTATGGCGTGTTTCAGATGTCAAGGAGGGCACTGTTAAATGAAAGAGTGGTGTACTTATGAAGTTAATTTTTTTGGGATTTTGGAATCATTTTTGGGTTAAAGAATGTTTATTCAATAAATGTGATATCAAAGTTATAGTTCATGGTATAAATGTTGAAATAACGAAGAAATTGGCAAATTTTTTGTCTATGGTTTGTTTTAAATCTGCTCAAGCAAGCAAATCTAGTACAAATATTCTGGGTATATGAAAAAACAAGAACACACTGGAATTTTGCAAACTAAAAAAAAATTATCTCGTTGGATATGTCCATGTAAAATTTTAAAAAACATGTTACAGTGCCATTATTGCATTATTGCGTTCCAAAAATGCCGTTCCATGCGAATCCCCAGTAATCATCCATTTCCTTTCCAAGTTTTAGACCTTATAAATTTTGAAATATCTAATAACCTTCACTTCGGTCCATTTTCTATTTTGGAATCAAGTTTTTGCCGTCGGACATGAAACCGTTGGAATCTCGAGGTTTTTATTGTCGCAATTATATTTCTTCCCCAAATCCATAAAATATGCTTTGGGATTGTTTTTTTCTTTCTCTTCTTCTCGATTTTGAGGCAGAATTAGAATATGTTCATGAAAGTCTGAAGCGATTATTTCACCATTTTCGATCCCAGTTTTTTCGTTTTTTCTTGACAATTACATTCTTGTCAGATTTTTTTGTAGCTTTTATACAGTTGTGATCATGAACTTGAATTGTTTCAGAAATTACTATTTATTTCAGAACTTTTTGAAATTGAAGAAATAATTTTATTTTTCTGGGCCAGCCGAATAATCAGTCTTGATCTATTGGGTCCGTTGAAAACATTGTTCCGACCCTTTTCTAAATTTATGAAGACTTCATATCATTTTGACAGCTGAACGACCTGGAATTACTTTTTCAAATACTAAATTTTTAAAATCTCTACTTCCACTTGGCCTGACTAAGATTCTTTGTTTGAAAAACTCGCTCGTCACTTCTAAAAAAGCAACTTCAAATCTTTTTTTTCCCGTTGCTCAGATTCCTTTAGTAATGGCTTCGGTTGCTCGGTGACATCCTTCGTGTATTCCCTCATTTTTTGAATTCATCCTTTCTTGGTTTTTTCTAGATAGAATGTCCAGAGTCTTGAGTTTCGAGTCAATTCCAGCTGAGATGTTCGAACGGGAGAGTTCGTAAGTACTGAAAGTTACCGTAATGAATCTGAAAACGAATTATAAAATTTCCGTCACTGTTTGATTTGATTTTTCATTATTTCGTTTTAGAGACTGTTCAACGGAACCGTGGGGAGACTATTTGAGTCAAACGAGCTACAAGGAAACCATGATCAGTTCTCAGGTTTTGAGGTACGTCAGAAATAATTTACCGTGAGACTAGTAGCAGAAGTGTCCCTAATCTGTCAAACTTGAGCTCAATTATCTCAATCCCTGTGCAAGATATCAAACATGTTTGAATTGGCAAAACGTTGCTGACATCATGATAAGTAATTTGTCAGTTGATCACTTTTTTATATCATGGACAGGCACCGAGAAAAAAAATCGGTCAAATTTACTTTAGGGGACTCTTCTATTACAGATTTTGCAGCACTTTGATAAGAAAAAAGAATCACTGTACTGAGAATGTACAAGACGTGCAATTTTTCAGCGACGAGGGAAGCGAACACCTTGATGATTTTGTAAGCGTGGCTAGCTTTCAATCTGGGTCAGAAGATGTGTATGGCACTCCTCCACGATCTTTAACGTAAGTTATTTGTTCTCGAATAGTTCGTGGATTTATTTGACTCCGATTATTTTTTAATATTATTTTCAAATTCATCTCAAGTTTTTCATTGCAGATTCGGTGGATTCATAAAACAAAAACCTCTCTTGAACATGTGGAGCTATGATTCGATCCCGGAAAAAATTTTCAGCTCTCAACCTATGATCCCAGCTAGTGACGAGGCTTCGACGTAAGTTGAACAATTTAAGAGAATCACGAGAAATTCCTAATGCTCATTATTCAGTTATTTGAATGGAGAGGCTAAAAGCAGTTATAAAAGTCAATCAACACTCGGATCAGGAAGAACAATTAGTGCTGAACTGATACCGAGAGCGGATACGTGAGTTTTAAATATATCATTCGGCTTTTGGGTTTTGGCACATTTAATTTCAGGTTCAGCGCATTTGAAGAGCCTTCCGCAATTTCATACAAATTGAGCTTTGGGTCTATTCCAAAAGAAAATATGAAACCGAATTTTGTGTCACGATCTCCGTTGTGAGTTGATGTATCTATGAATGTTTCTGGCTCGAAACAATTGTTTTTAGCTCAGGAATACTTTTCAGGTTCGCACACAATCGAAGGAGTCGTGTGAGAATTCAAAAACAGCTATCAGTTTCGGACGATGTTATCACAGAGGGACCGCAGCCAGAGTCAACTAGGTATTATAACTTTTTCAACTGAAACAAAAATTTCGATTTTTGAAAAATTACTATCCAGAGATGAATCGGACCAACAACCGCAAGATCCAGGACCAAAAGTGCCAATCGTCTGGAGCAACTGCATATGCTGCGTGACTGTGGAAATAATGTGTCATATTTACGAGACATGTTTGGCAATTTGCAATCGTTGAAAAATTTTCATTTTCGAAAATCTTAGTTTTCAACTGATATCTTCAAATTTGTCTTACGAAATTGCTAATACATAATTTTCATCTGTCCTTTTTTTATTAAATGTGTCGAATCATTAAAAATAGAGCCTCATGAAAAATTGGTGTTTTTTTCTTAGTTTTCGTCATATATACTAAACAACTAATGTACAATTTGTTTTATTTTACATTAAAAATGACTTGATAAATGAGAAAATAAAATTGAAAATATTCACGAAATTATTGAGAGGAATAAGAATCACCGGTCTGTTGAAGAATTGACATATTACGAATGAGCACATTTGACACTGTCTCTCCACCCAAAACAACACGAATCAGAGTGTCTTCAAGAATAGCCATTGTTTTGAAACCTAGCTCGACATCTTGACGTCCATCCTGAAATTTCTAGTTCGTAGTCTGTAAAATCATCAAAAACTACCTCGGTATATGGTTTTCTGGAATCCGCGTCTAGGTTCGACATGCAAGTGAGAAGATTGGTGTAGGTCAGCCTGAGCTCCGGGATCTTACATCTCTGAAAAATATCGAAATATTATTTTTAAGATTGTGGAAAAGCACTCACAGGGTGGTTGACAAGTCTCTGCAGACATTGGACTTTTCCGTTAAGATCCTTAATTTCCTTGTCGGTAAAAAGACGTTGGGCAACAGTTGTTTCAGACGACATTTTCAGTTGCAGGACGTAGCGATAGAATTAGGAAATAGGGAGTAAAACGTAGCAATAGAAATAGCAAATGAATGAGATGGTGAGTAGAAAAAACTATACAGCTGTACGGTCGATGCTCACCTGGGCCAATGGGCGGGACATTGGGCGGAAACAATAAATATGGCTCTTGGGAAAGTATGTGAAGAGGAAATTCAAAAATAATAAACAACTTTGACAGGTTTATGGCCCCTATTCTCTTCACGTTTGATCACCATACAATAATTATTATGTAGATTCCGTAATTTGGGTTTGGTGTGAGTCTGGTACGTAATAGTAACAGGTACGATGGGGGACATTAAGAGAGAGATTGTTGTAGTCAAGTAATAATATCCCAGCAGTCCCAACAAAACCAACCCCCCAAATATACAAAAAGTCATTGGCGTCAGTGAAGAACACTCAAACAGTACTCTTACACAACTCCGCTATGCTCCAAACCTGCTACATTTGCATTTCCTTCGAAACCACAGTGATCAAATCAATAATTTTTATTCAAATCACTTTTAAACCAAATACAGTACCGTGCAATAAGATATACAATTCGTGTTTTTCAACTATAACTTTCTTCAAAATAGAGCTGAAGCGTCAAACTTTTTTGTGAAATATGGCAAGTCTCCCAAGAAAAATGAAACAAAAACACTCTCAACTTGAAAAATAAAAGAAAAATTTTAGTGGAAAAATTCACTTTTTAAAAAACTTCGGATTTTTGGGTCATTTTTTAAAAAATCTGAGAAAAATAGGAAACGGTGATGAATGAAATAAAACATTTTGAACATTATAAAAGAGACTTTGACCAACTTTTAAGCAAATCATGCATCATCGAATTACAATTCCGTGTATGGAACGGCTGCTCGAAGTGTCAACTAGAAGTTTCCGGCTTCTGGGCTTTTCCAACTATCATGCATCATCGAATTACAATTCCGTGTATGGAACGGCTGCTCGAAGTGTCAACTAGAAGTTTCCGGCTTCTGGGCTTTTCCAACTATCGTTGTCCCATTTCAAGTTGTCAATGTTTGGTTTTTTTATGTTTTTATTATTTTCCAAATGTTTTTTCTACAATATATTCTTATTTATCACTCAAAAGATGTTTCTTTCAGCTCCAAAAAATGATTTTATAAATTGAGAGGCAAGCAAAAACAAGTATGAGGGTTACTTTTATTCATCGTGTCAGAGTCGGCTGCTAGAATTTGATACTTTTACAATAGATATCAATAATACAGTTTCGTTAAACCCTATAAAACACGATTTCCGCTTGTTGAATGCTCATTCTCGGCTTGCGCGATCTGTTTTGTATTGGGGTTCACGTTATTTCATCGCTGTGTTGGCTCAGATAAATAATTTGACCTTGAAAAAAAGAGAATCTCATGTTAGTCATACTCAAACAATAGCAACAACTTCTTCTTACAAATTAATCGTTGAAAATTGATGAATGGAACACTCTGGAAATGAAACTGGACCAGTGTTCTGTTATATCATTAATTTACTAAATGAAATCACTTTTGAAATAAGTCCTATCGTCTCCATGGGCTTTCCGCATCACAAAATTATGTTTTATAGGGTTTAACGGAACTGTAATATTGATATCTATTGAAAAAAAGTATCAAAGAAAAAAGTATCAAAAAAAAATCCAGCAGCCGACTCTGACACGATGAATAAAAGTAACCCTCATACTTGTTTTTGCTTGCCTCTCAATTTATAAAATCATTTTTTGGAGCTGAAAAAATCATCTTTTGAGTGATAAATAAGAATATATTGTAGAAAAACATCTGAGAAAAAAAAACCAAACATTGACAACTTGAAATTGGACAACGATAGTTGGAAAAGCCCAGAAGCCGGAAACCTCTAGTTGACACTTCGAGCAGACGTTCCATACACGGAATTGTAATTCGATGATGCATGATAGTTGGAAAAGCCCAGAAGCCGGAAACTTCTAGTTGACACTTCGAGCAGCCGTTCCATACACGGAATTGTAATTCGATGATGCATGATTTGCTTAAAAGTTGGTCAAAGTCTCTTTTATAATGTTCAAAATGTTTTATTTCATTCATCACCGTTTCCTATTTTTCTCAGATTTTTTAAAAAATGACCCAAAAATCCGAAGTTTTTTAAAAAGTGAATTTTTCCACTAAAATTTTTCTTTTATTTTTCAAGTTGAGAGTGTTTTTGTTTCATTTTTCTTGGGAGACTTGCCATATTTCACAAAAAAGTTTGACGCTTCAGCTCTATTTTGAAGAAAGTTATAGTTGAAAAACACGAATTGTATATCTTAAATTTGAATGAAACAAAATTTCACTTTCTGTAGCAGCAGCGACATGCGATTCAGACACAGCACGAACAGTTGTTCCATCTAGTGTCTTCGTGGTCTTTATAGTTCCTGGATCTTCATTTGTCTGAATGAAAAATATTAGAAATGAAACAATAACTCTCATTAACAATTAAATAAGACTTTCCGTAAACCTCCTAATAAAGTGCCGCTCCTCACCGTAAAAATCTAGTGTATATTGATATAATATACTGCAATATGTACACCATAAATGAATTGAAACGCATAAACTCACTTCAGAATATTTTGCTGAACAATAATAACTTTTTTTGGTTCAGACTCGGAGCTCTTGGAGACCAACTTATATGAAAACGAGAGAAAAATAAGAATTATTTCAAAAATGTGAACTAGCAAAGAAATTTGCGCTTTAGGTATCCGAGCAACCAAACGATCTGGTACACAGCAATGTGATAGTCTCAATAATTGGAGGTGCTTAGGGGAGCGCATAACATTTGGCATGGATTGAAAGCTTTCTAGAAACAGGAAGAATTGTTAGTTTCCAAAAAATGGGAGAAGCGACAAGATTCGAAATCACAAAAATCTAAAATTGATTTATATTATTTAAAAATTCAATTCACCGGATTTTGGTAAAGAGTCAAGGTCTGAAGAAATGGTCCATTACATATAATTCCATCATATTGTCATTTCTTGTATTATTATTCTGCTGTATCACACTTTCTTTTTTATTCATTATAATTTGAAAACATATCGAGTTACAGAAGGACAACTGGATAAATTTGGCAGTTTCAAAGTTAAAACAAGTTACATAAAAATGCACAATTATATAACGCTTGAGTACAACGGGGCAAAAAACAAGGCAAACCAAAGTGAGAGTGATTTAAAAAGCAGATATGGGTTTTTGGAAGTTAGCAAAATATTATGTGGAGAATCATTCACCGTTTCCTGTTCCTAATCTTCGATTTTTAACGTGCATGCCGAGTCAGGCTGAAAACAAAACATCGGTTACAGAAAAAGACAGTTTTGCGAATTTTGAAGCCTTCGAAATTTAAATATGGTGTTAAAAACTAACCGATTTCACAATTTGTTCTGGTGAATGTGGAGAACTTGTCTGCTCGGTGTCGCATTTCATTCTCTTTTCTGGAACCATTGAATGGAGGACTGGGCTGTCGTTTTCTTCATTCAGAAGATCGATTTCAGCTTTTTTAACTTGAGCTTTAGGTTTTCGAGACGTTTTGCTCTTCTTTGAATGGACCTGAACTTTTTGATAGTTCAAACTAACAAACAAAATAATTCTTTTGAAAACCTTAAACACAACTTAACATACCTGGGGTTTCATTTCTTGCCCAGCTCGAGCGTTCATCCTGCAACTTCTTTTACTTTCCGTATGACCAAGTTCAGAAAACGCCTGTTTTTCATCTGAAGAATGAGAACTCTCATCATATGGCAATCCCATTTTCATCGCTTGATCTCGTTTCGTGACTGCTTCCTCAATACGATTCCAAACAGTTAGTTTCTCCATTATACCTTTGTGCAACACGTGTCGATGTAGATCACTATATATGGTGACGTTGGGAGTGCTCGAAATGCTCGTAGGTTCTTTACACGCTTTTCGATAAATTTGAAAAATATCAGCACGGATTTCACCCAAGCGAAAAGCCATTGTTGCGCTGAAAAATGATAATATTCGTTTGCGGAAAATTACGAGAAAGAAAAGAACAAAACAACACTCATTCAAATATTACGTGAGAATGGTACCCAAACATTCCGCACGTCTCACAAAACACCTATTGATCGAACATACATAAGCAAAGAAGGATTTTTGGTGTGAGTAGACTTGCATTCTCCCCCTCTTCCCGCGAGAGTGATGCTGTGCGCAGCGCATACTGCCTCAGTTTCTCTTAAAAACGAGGATTGAGGGAATCATCCAGTAATTGAGATATAACCGTTTTTGTTTATTAAGAACGTTGTCTGTTAATTTCTGAAAAAAAACATCTCGCAAATCGAATTACAATTAAACAAAATATCGGTTCTCATTTTCAGATAAATGTGTTATTTTTTCAATTCTTACCAAATACAATAGATCCCGTATTAGAAAAATTCCTATAAAAATTCACATGTGTGTGATCTAATGAAAAATGTATTGGGTGGCGGAAACAGAAAGCGAATATAACAACTTGTAAACATGAATTTTAAAACTGTTGAAGAGTTTATGATAAGCAGAATTTTTTGATCGTAAGATTAAAAAATAAAGTCTGAATCACAAGAACGTCGAAAATTCAAGAAGAACATGACGATCAAAACTGAAATTTTTTTTAATCGACTTATTAGAAATAAGGTGATGGAAGTATGCATAACGGAAAGTTCGTCGAAATTTCTGAGAATTCAATTCAACTTTTTTCTTATTTTTCTTCCAGAAACACTTTGCTTTTCCAGTTTCAAAAAAATTTTTCACGAACGACAAAATCTGATGTATTTTAAAAGTCAATTCTTCCATCGAATCAGTCTTTTTCATAAAATTCAAATGCATTCTAGTTGTATTCCATTGAATGTGCCATCTCCCATATGGTACCTTCTCGACTAGTTATTTTTTAAAAAAGACAGAACCCTTGTTACCGAACTCGTCTTCCAGACATCACGAAGAAATCTTCAGTCTTGTGCATCCTCTATTCTAGACGTATAATCTTTGTCTGGCTTATGCCCACTCATTTCAAACAAAATTCTATTTTGAAGTTTTGAAATTGGAATTGTACTTGACGATCGTCACCTGGTGATTAGTATACATTCCCGTTATTTTTCTTCCTACACATTTTTTCGATTTTGTAAAGCTTTTTTTCTCTCAGACTAGAACCGCCCATTCAAAATAAAGAGTGTGACCGGGAGGCGGGGCTTAATTAGACAACTATAAAAACCCAGAGCAGGCTTCTCTCAAAACACGAATCCAGAAATGAATCGTACTTATGTTCTTGTTGCTTTACTGATGTTCAGCTTTTCAAGGTTTGGCTTTTCAAGGTTTGGAGGTCCGTGTTTCATCGAGGTAAATGCACAGCTTTTTTTTAGAACTATTAATTTAATTTCAGTACCATAAGGACAACGTCTTCACCTACTGCTACTGCAAATTCAGTCGATGCAACGTTCCTCAAAAACCAATTCGCCACGACCGTTATATGGCAAGAATGCTTCTTGTTGATCCAGACCACCCGGATTAATGAAAACATCTCAATAGGTTCTGTTAATGATTTCGATAATGACAAATCTTGCTGAATAAAACTATTTGACTCTCCAGATCAGAATAATGATGAAAATGCTTTTTTTTTTTTTGAAAAAAAAACCAAATATTGAATTCGAGTGGACAGCATCATCATAAAATGTTTAGAGCAGGAAGTTTCACTTCAAATCAAACATACAACATAGTTGTGAATTGAATATTCATACATCTTCATGGATGTTTCAGTGATTTTCGTAAGAATGACTAATCAATTAGTTTTTGGAGTCAAGTACAATATTTGGTTATAGGAATTCTTGGAACAATGAATTCATTGGCCCCGGTGTCAGAATCAATTATTGGTTTGTCAAAAAATCAAAGGCGAGAATCAAAACACAAAGAAAAACAATAACATTTGGATAAGTCATTATTTTTGAGAATTTCGGAAAAGAAAGATTTTGAAACGAAAATAGTTTTGTATTCGCTTGTGTTAGATGAGTTGCGACCAATTGAGGATGTATAGAGAATGCACGAAGACAACAGTTATGATGAGAAACGCTTTTCAAACAATTAGAGGGATTGGTTCAAATCTATATAGTTTCACTAAAAAACGTGTGATCAGTTTAAATAAGATTTATCAAAGTTTTTCCCAGTATCACGTTATATGTATGTTCGATTTCCAATAATAGTCTTGTTTCAAAACAAGATAGTTTCTTTTCTTTCTACCTTCGTTTCCCGTAGATGAGCTCTCCTTCACATGTTCAGAATAATGACAACAGATGACGAAACCTTAATATTCGATGCGCACACCAAAAAAGAGACAATAGAAGAGGTCAATGAGAGTGAGATTCCAAAGATAGAGGTAATTGTAGCCGTTCGCTCTCACCGCAAGACGCTTTGTATAGTGTAGATAACGTTCCCAATTACCCGACATTACCTTTCTGCTTCCGTTTAAAACAGTTCCCATTTTACTGACTTTTTTATTCATTTTATTTATTTATTTATTATTTGTTTTTGTTACTTCAATTCCAAACGTTGCTATTCAATAATGCCATACGCGCAAATACATGCACAACGACCCGCAGAAAACACCACAGAGAACGTTGACGAAAGAGTTGATAAGAAAGATAAGATACAAGGTTACATGACAATTAACAACGCAACCGCATATTAAGATTTATGAAGATAGATAAAACGATAACCCACATTGCCAACCATATTTTTTATCCATTTCTGTTCTGCTCGTTTTGCTGTCTGAGATTAATATCAGTTTTATTCGTTTTCATGTTTTTTATTCATTCAAATATTAAGTGAAAATGATTTTGAAGTCTGCTTTTAAATTTTTTGTAGCTATTCAGAGTGGAAGCTAGCAATCGCCAATTAATCGTAACAGAATACTATAGAATGACGCCATTACCTATCAACTTTTTTTATTTATCTCATTTTCTGTGAAAGATATCAAAAAGTAATCAACTGAACAAATGTCTTTCGTTTCAAAATAAATATTTTACCAGTTGACCATTTGTTGATATCTTTCACAGCTAATGAGATTGAAAGGCTTAAAGTTAAAGGTTTGGGAAGGGAGGGACGCTCTATTAGTGTTTACCATATCTCCCAAGTAAGATCTTCAAGCTATTGCAACAGTTTATGATAATATTCGTTTTTTTTCGATGATTTTTCATTTTCTGAGCGTTTCTCTATAAAACTTAAAATTGAAAATTTTACTATCTACCAGAATTCGTGTTGCTTATTTTCTTTTCCTCATGACAGCGCAGTCGAATTCAAAAGATTGTTTTTATCTCTTGGTTCTTCATATCTGACCGACAAGTCACAAGTACATTATCCATTTTTTCGAATTTGGATTCTACGAAATCTCACGCCTACTAGTTCTTTGACGACGAATAATTGTAGCACCGGAAATTTGTTTTCGCGTCATTGCTCTTCATCAAAAACACAATTTTCTTCATTCTCGCCACTTTTTGGGCTTTCTTTTAATAGATTCTTGCCCACTCTGTGACACACCGATTTCCACATTTTTCTTTATCTCAGGTCATCTTTTTCTCGTTCACAATTGATCGTTTTCTGATTAAAAAAAACGGATAGCATTCTCTTTTTCCTTTCTCTATCTCTTCCACATGGTGTTCTCATGTAGATAGTGTATCTCTTTTTGATTCACTTCTTTTCCTTCTTCTCTCTTCTAACTCATGGATAGTTTTTTTTCTATTCATATGCATGTTCTCTTTGAGTCGAATCCTCTCATTGTTGGGTTTTCTGTTTCATTCTTCTCTTCCGCTCTCTTATTTATAACACTCTGACCCGGCCAAATTATTATTCTGGTACTCTATTGATCGTGAGAGGTGAAAAAGATGTACGCACACAGGCAGGCAGTGTGAAACAGAATGATACGCAGACGCGCGAAGCCGAGCGAACCACGAGTGTGTGTACTCGGAATACCAGTCGCCCAAATGTTTCCTTCTTGTTTCATATGTGTTCCTCTCTAACAGAACGTTTTTTTTCGGAATTAATTTTTGCTGACAAGGGAACCTCAAGACCTTGTAATGCTAGATTTTGATGGGAATTTTAGAATAACCTTTCTAGACACTTTGGAAAATTTCTGGATTTGCTCGCCAGTTTCAGTACAGAAAATCGCGTTTTCAGTGTGAAAATAGAAACTTTTAAAAACGATTTTTTATTTTTCTAGGACATTTCAGAACATGAATTTCGTTGTGTTATTGAATACAATTTCACATTTCAAATATTTTCCCAAAAACTTTTTTTCAAAAGTTTTCTATAAAATCTAATTGCTAGAGAAATTCAAAAAATCCAAAAAAAGTTTTTCTTGAGAAAATGTTTAAAATATGAAATTTCATTTAATTTAAGTTCAAAACAACACTTTGTTCTAAAAAATCCAAGAAATTGCTGGATTTTTGAATTTTCAAACGTATAGGCTATTCTTAACCTGTGTTGAAATTTTCATCAAAATCTGGGTTCAGAAAATCTGGGTTCACTCGTGAGACTTTAATATTTTCCTTGGATATTCTATGAAAATGAAACACATCATATTTACAAATGCTGGTTTTTCAGAGATGTTCCAGTTGATGATCAGGAGTATCAAGAAAGATAATTTTTGCATACAGCTGGAAAGTGATCAAGTCAAGGTTTCGGAAGTTCGCAGACTGGTAAAACAATTATGATTGTTCAAATATTCATTTTTTTTTCACAGATCAATGAGCACTTGGGAATGGTTGATGGTGACTTCTGGATGAATACTAATTGCCGAAACCTCGATGATCAGAAAACTCTTGCCGAGTACAACCTCAAGGATTTTGCTTGCGTTGATGTCATGTTCCGCATGCGGGGCAGACCTGGTCACGACTGTCCAGGTTGCCAAAAAAGTAGAAGTGAGTTCTGGTTTGCTACAAATTTGTATTCAGCATACTTGTCATTGGCCGGGCAGGGCTGGGTCAATATGAAAATTTTCTGGCCTGGCCCGGCCCGGTCCTGTCGGCCCTGGTCGGCTTCTGAAATTTCGAAATTCCGAAGTTTTTTTGAAGTTTTTACAAGTTTTCGCTAAATTTTCAATGGTTCTTAGAATTAAAGAAAATAGACAAAAACAACTGCTAGAATGATCATGCCACACAGTTGAGAATAAGAAAATGCGTTTATATTATTTCTTAGCTTCTTTAGTGTTAAATAACCCTCGTTGACCTCCAGACCTTCAGAGGACGCTTTCCTTTGGCTAGCCGGGTGGCACTATAGTGGCCAGCAGGGTGATGTTAAGGTAGACATCTATTCAGAGCATTTACGAAGCACTAAAAACACACCAGAGCCCTTTTTGGCGTGTTTTTGAAAAATTTAATGTTGTTTCGATCTCTTCAATTAATCCTATTTGCAATCATAAGCGAACTTTTACTATTCAATGTTTCTTTAAGAAGACAGAGAAGAGAAGGCAAAAGATGACCTCTCACTATGTGTGGACATTGTGTCTAGTAATAGGGCAGCGGCTTTTTTGTCAGGGTACTTCTAAGCCTGACGGCCAGAAAAAAGTTTCTGGTTTGCTGAGCTTCTTCCGGACGGTTCGATCCTTGACCGCCTACCCACAACCCGTGCCATCGCCTGGTTTATCCCCCGCATTGACAACATCATACCAAAAATATATATCTAAAAACCATTATATTACAGGGATTGTGCTCGTCTCCATTCAAGACTCGACAGGAACTACACACAATTTTGAATTGGAAAGCAACGATGTGACGGTATCCCATCTCAGAGAATGTGTAAGTTACTGAGCATTTTGAAACACTTTTTTATTTCGTTCCTTTACGAAATCGGCAGAAGTACAGTATTGACCCCTAGAGAAGACGTCATAACTTGCAAAAAAAAAAGAAAAAAACGTCAACAGCTTTGAATTTCAAAAATACTTTTTCCGAAGAAATTTTAAACAGAATTAAATCAAAATTGTACTTTTCTTGTATCTCTTTTTCTAATAGTGAAGCTTGACACTTTCGGGTAGCGTCTATGGCGTCACGGGGGTGGTCTTCAGGCAAATTGGTCCATTCCAATTGGTTTTGGCAGTCAGCTTTGAGTCCAAATATCTAATTTACTGTGAGATATATCAAAAAGGGATTGGCTGATGAAATGTTGCCGATAATATGATAAACATTTTTTTAGTTGAATACTTTTTGAAATTTATCACAGGAAATGAGATACATGAGCTCAAACTTGACAGCTTCTGGGTAGTTCTATTGCAGTGTTTACGGTAAACATGAAGCTTTGCAAATCTACTAATGAAGAGATGGGGTAGAACATAAGTATAAAATCGAAACATGAAAGCGCATTTGTTACAATTCCTTTGCTTTACCATGTAGGTAAAATTTATTCAATCGAAAATTGCATAAATTTCAAAATTCGTTTCAGAAAACCTTTTCAGTTCCAATTTTCATTTTCAGATCGACTCCTATCTTCTCGATCAATATACCAAATATCGTCTTGTTGGAAATTTTGGTATTATGCAGAACGATCGTACGCTTTCCTCTTACGGTATCCAGAGGGAAGCGTATATCTACATCAACTCTGCCACTCCGGAGTCAGCTTACGAAAGTCAGTCATTGCCATGAGCCTCTCTTCTTATTTTATTTTTTGCAGCCATGTTCGTTTCGCCACAAGAGAACACTGCCGTCGAGGCAATTCGAGGTGCTCGAAGAGTGGTCAAGCTGACTGAAAAAGAATGGAGAGAACAATGTCGAGAAAGAGAGGAATATCAGTGTCGTTTAGAGAGAAGACAGCGTCGCAGAGATCGTGAAGAAAACCGGCGAAGGGCTCGAGAGTTTGTCGATGACGAGATGCCCGACGAATTGATCCCTTCTCTGCCTGCTAAGAGATCCAAGTAAGTCACTAAAACAATTTGATACACGAAAACCATGTAACAATAGATCAAGCCAACACAATGATGAAGGTCGTGAAGAAAGCCAGCAACGGATGGAAGAGTACGTCGAAGACGAGATGCCCGATGAGTTGGTCCCTCCGCCTGCTAAAAAATCCAAGTGAGTCCCTAAATCAATTCGAAACACGAAAACCATGTGTAACTTTCAGAGAAACCCATTACTACAACAAAATGTGAACAATTACTCTTCCGATTCCATCTTCCCACTTCCAGCTTGGATTTAAACAGTCACAATTCCACTGCTTTTGAATTAATCATTGGGCTTAGCTCTTCTTGTCTGAGTTCTTTCCAAAATGTGTATTTTAAAAACATTTTAGTATATTAATAATTCCATTTACATTTTTTTGAATGCCTAGTAAGATAAGAATGATAAAACGTATTAATTTATTCGCCGTTTTAAAATTAGTAACCCGTTCTGTTATAGCACATAGAACATTTCAAAAAACCGAGGTTAGAATAATTTACAGAAACAGAAGAACACTCAGAACAAGAAGAGTTGTCCCGAAATGAACTCCACTGCTTGCGTAGTTGCGTTTCTCGGCAAACCTGAAATATGAATTATTTACTGATTGGAGATTCACTAATTCAAATATTCACAAGAACCTTCAACAAGGAACCTCAACACTTTGTCAACTAAATTGAACGGTCGGGTTAGGAAAGCATATCTAGACATTTCTGAAAATTTCAGAGCTTGATTGCCAGTTTCTGCCGAGTTATATCAGTTTCTTTTTTCAAAAAAATTTTTTTTTCAAATTCTAAGATACGTGCTCTTAGTACTGTAATTGATATAATTTGGTTGAAACTGGCAAAAAAATTCTAAAATTTCAAGAAGTTTCCAGATAAGATATTCTAAACCTATCCTGAAATTCCATCAAATTTGGGTTTACAATGTATTCAGGTTCTTTTGTGAAGTTGAAATCAATCATGAACTTACATTTTGGTACCAGAGACTTGATGCTCGGCTTTCGTGCCAATCATGGTATGCATCTGACGTTTGGTCATCAACACAAAAACGATTTCATCGTCCGTGGCACTGTTTCTTGGCTCCTCGACTTCAGAGTTTAAGGTAGATGCATTGGATTTCAAGAGATCCCTGACATTGTTTGTAACTTGGACCTCAGATGCAACTTTAGAACTCACGTTTCGTTTCCAGCAGATTTTCCTTCTTCCAACCCATCAATGAACGTGTACATTTGCTTTTTAGTCATTCGAACGTAAACTTTTGTATCCAAATCGGCATCATTAGCAACTGGCTTCATTTTTGAGCTCATAACCTCTTCAGATTTGTTAGAAATCGTTTGGTTCTTGTGAGATTTTGTTTCGTGAGATTTTTTATGGCTTCTTGCTTTTGAAACAATGACATCGCGAGACTTGTCCTGAAAAAAAAGATAAGAGGAATGGATAATATTTTTTAAATCCCACCTGACGACTATCATCACTTTCTCTGATAAGTTTTGCTTTATTCTGCTTTGTATCCTTGTCAGATTCATAAGAGTCGCTCTTTGGATAATAACGCTTGTGACCATTCGAGCCGGATTTCTTATGAAGATGCTCTTTGTCCATTTTCTCCTGCTTCACAGCATTCACAAACATTTGTTTCACATTCTGCAGCATTTTAGAAATTTCAATGACATCTTCGAACTTTGTTGACGCAATTTCGGTTTTCTTCAATGCTTTCGGTGTTCTATAAGCCGTTGGGAAAAACTGTTCGCTCTCCAAGTCTTCTTCGTGCTCCAATTTGTACAACTTGCAACCTTCATTCACTCTCAGAAACTGTTGGAATCGTCCTCGAGAAACAATGAAATTTTTGTTCAACCAAAACTCGGGTTTGAGTTCGTCTTGATTGATCACGCATCGGAAAGAATTGGTTTCAAATTGTTCCACAACGTTGGTGAGATTCTGTAATTGACGATGCTTTCAAATTGACACATCCCCCTTCCTCACCTGTTGATTGATCAGAATAGTCTGTCCGAATCGTCCCAATCCACGAAGACGTTGTCCAGCAAACGGAACACAAACGAAGAACTCCATTGTGTTGAGAAGGTCTCGATCGGTGACAATGGAGACGTAGTCGGTGACTGACATATTGCGCACGAAAATGTTCACATTTCCAGATGGATCGAAACGGAGAACGGTTTGACAATCAGTGTTGGGATCGCATTCTGGCGATTCGGCATAGCAGGAATGTCGTCCGGAGCATTTGATGGTAGCTGTCGCCACGGAAACAAAGTATGCGAGGAAACAGAGTTTGTGGAAAATCATTATCTGGAAAAATGATTTGTTGGATGAGAAGACGATAAGAAATTACAAGGAAAGTATTAGGTTGGTAAGAATGTTTTTTTGGCAAAATTTTTGAACAGATTTTCCTTGAAGATGGGGGGACAGGAGATTTTTCGGAGGATTTATGGAGCCAGAGTATGCATTCTACCGTCGCGGTGTACTACGCTTAAAATCACTCTGCGTACCGCGGTCGTCCTCCCCCTTATGTTTCCCATCGGGGGCGCGCTCATTCTTTGCACTCGTGGCGCAGTCGGTAGCGGCGCTGTACCCCTGAGCTGCCCATCATGAGTTCAACTCTTTGAGGGGTGTATTTAGACGGAATTTCGAGAACATTATGTTTTTCATGTCTGATTTATCGAGATCTGCATAAGAAAAATTATCGAATAGCTGTTATGTTTTCCTCTGGATAACCGCAAGTAATTCAAAATGATAATGCACCTCAGAAGAAACCCATATCACGCAATCCGCCAGCGCAACTAACAAGAAAAACAAACCAAAATGAATGAGGAAAGAAAATGAGGACCACAACAGTCGTCTGGTCGAGGGTCACTTTTCTCGCGCGCTCATCTCGTGAACTACACTACACCCGCCAATCTATGCTGTAGACTCTACAGGCGAGAGGGTCCCCGCGCACAGGTCGCCTTCTTGGACTGTCTAAGTCTCTTCTCTCTCACCTCCTCATTATCTTTTTTTTCTATTGCGCAACACAGGGTTTTTTTTTACTTTTTCATGGTCCTCTCTTAAAATTACAGTACCGCTTAATACGATAAGAAAAACGTGATTTTCAGTTGATTTTAACCGTTTTCAAGAGTCTCGGGCTCGGCCGTCAAGTTTCCGATCGATTCGAAAATTTGGGAGGACAGACCTTATTGAAAACATTGCATTCACAGAATTTTTGAAAATTCCTAGTTTCTCAGTTGCTTGCCAACTTCTAAAAAACACCACCTTCACCCGTTTTCGTACTGAAAATGTGAGAAAAAGCAAGTGTCTTTCATAAATCGACAGGAAGCTGTAAAACTATGTATGTTTAAAAAATTCTGAATGCGAAATGTTCAATCTAGGTCTGTTAGGTTGACAGCCAAGCTCCAAACTTCGGAAAATGACCAAAAAATAAACTGAAAAATGCGTTTTTGTGTATCTATTTGATCGGTACTGTATTTATCCTTTTTTTATTGACTATAATTAACTGTAATAGTGTCTTCCAGATGAACAACTCTTCCTCTGCGCTCACTGTCACCACTCAACCAGAATTCACACACGGGTATCCTGTTTTAGTCACATTCTACATTGGTCCAACTAATCAAAAAGGACGCCATCCCGCAATTGCACGTGAAACTTTGACTCCTATTATGATCTTCAAGAATACATGGGTAACTTTCCAAAAAAATTTTTGGCAATAATAATGGAATGTTTTCAGGCGGAACTCACTAAAACTCTTGGGCGTTTCTTCAACAAAAATCTTCCACTGCTGATTGTCGGTCGTGACATTCGAGTGAAGGACAATGATGATTTTATTACTCGTATGACGAATTGTCGCTTTCTTCATCG